CGGCAACTCTTCTCACACTCGTTAGGCTTGTCCACACTTGACTAAATTTCAGACTCCTAAGAAATGCTCCTCTAGCGTTGTTATGGACGTGAGATGCATTGGAGCTGCACGCAAAAGCCCTTGCAATACATTTTATGGGTGTGCTCCATCCAGACATGAAAGTTATGCTGGTACACCTCTGCACAGCTCACCTACTGATTGGTTTTCACTTCCATCCTGACCTGTTGACTATATATTTACCACGGCCTCCTCTTCTATGAAAATGCAGCCACTGTGTTCGGGGTTCCACCCTCTCCCTTATTGCTCGTGCAGTCTCACCTTGGAGCAGGAGTACCCAGTTGGCAAAATGCTTGAAGTTGGCCCAGAATCCTGTTCACATTCTTCTGAATATGGCTGCTTAGGGTCTTCTTAAACTTTAGGAGTGTTTCCCGAGAGGTCCACCAATTGATCTTACTAGATGCTTAGAGTTCTATCATTGGAGGAGTTATCCAGAGTAACCAATAAAATTACAGGCTGCCATCTTTCTTTTGGAGCCCAGAATGTTGCAGAGGATACTTTGTAACTATTACAGTCTGCAGGTTTTCTATACAAACGTTACCGTATGTGATCCATGTTCCGTGTGTTGGTGCAGGTGAAGAAGACCTTAGATGCCACCATGCAGACCCTGCAGGACATGCTGACCGTTGAGGACTTTGATGTCTCTGATGCCTTCCAGCACAGCCGCTCCACCGAGTCCATCAAACTGGCCGCCTCGGAGACCTACATGAGCAAACTGAACATCTCCAAACGCAGAGCCAACCAGCAAGAGACGGAGAGCTTCTACTTCACGGTAGTTGATAAGATGTCTCTTGACTCGTAGGGAAGTCCCATTACCCTCACAATGCCTCTACCAGAGCCTCCATGAAATAGGCTGGTGCATGAGGGTTTTCAGGCTCTTTCACTCAGGCATGGAATTGGACCACAGCCTTTAATGTGTATTAACGCACCTACAGCATTAAGGAGCATTTCGGACGTGTTGCACAAGCATTCAAGTCGCGTCAGGCAATGCTCCTCTAAGGCCCCATGTACACGGGACACTTCTGAATGATGGAAACTGACTGCTGGAAACCGTGGGTTACAAAAAGTCTGTTTAGCTGAGTTTGCATAACGCGTTTATGTGCGTTTGCGTTTAGAATCTTTTTTAAAAGATAAGCACAGGAGAACCTCCCCAAATGCCCAGAATGCACTGAAAAGTGGTAAATTATTAACTATTTCAGACTTTTTCAGAGAAATACAGAGAGTAGAAGCAGAGACAGCAGTATGTGTTGAGATTAGCTTAGGTGTGAGTTGCTCATTAACATTTCTTTTGGGAAAGGTGTCTGGTGGAAGGAGTCATTAAGGCCACCTGGCAGGGGGTCTTCATGAGGAATTTGAGGTGTGAATGATCATTAATATATCTTTTGTTTCCAAGGGTGGGAGAGTTCTGAGGTGTGAATGGCCATTAACATATCTTTTGTTTCCAAGCGTGGGAGAGGTCTGAGGTGTGAATGGTCATTAACATATCTTTATTTTCAAGGGTGGGAGAGGTCTGAGGTGTGAATGGTCATTAACATATCTTTTGTTTCCAAGGGTGGGAGAGGTCTTGAGGTGTGAATTGGTCATTAACATATCTTTTGTTTCCAAGGGTGGGAGGTCTGAGGTGTGAATGGTCATTAATATATCTTTTGTTTCCAAGGGTGATGAGGTGTGAATTGGTCATTAACATATCTTTTGTTTCCAAGGGTGGGAGAGGTCTGAGGTGTGAATGATCATTAACATATCTTTTGTTTCCAAGGGTGGGAGAGGTCTGAGGTGTGAATGGTTATTAACATATCTTTATTTTCAAGGGTGGGAGAGGTCTGAAGTGTGAATTGGTCATTACAATGTGGGACCAGTTTGGTAGGAACATTCCTGTGTTCAGTGTTTTGTCCATCTGAGCACCTTGAAAACGCTTTCCATGCATTTTTCAGGATGAAAAAAGGCTCTGGACAGCATCGGGAACTGGAAGAGTTAAATAAAATTCAAACGCTTATAAACACGATTTGACGTGTTTAGCTGCATTTACAAGCGTTTTGCGTTTGAAACGCTGATAAAATTGACTGCTGAACTCAAGTTTTCTGCGTTCAAAAAAACGACTGTAAACTCAAATGCCTGTAAATGACGATGTGTACATAGACACATAGGAAAACATTAGGGAGAGTTCAGGGGCTGCTGAAAAAACGCAGAACAGCTCCTGAACGTGAGTTTATCAGTCGCAGTGTACATGAGCTCTAACACCCTGTGAGATTTTTTCAATTTTTTTTTTACAAGGTTGTAAAGGGAAATGGTCACTTTATGTGTCCTGGTTCACACCGGTGCGGCTTCAGGTGCGACATGCGATTTCCAAATCGCATCTGAAGTCTGAATGTATTTCTATGGCATCGTCTTAATCAGTGCGATCTGAAGTATCGCCATTTTAAAAATAGTTCCTGCACTCCTTTTTTTTTTTTTTTCCCGATTTCATTGCGACTTGCATCGACTTCTGTTAAAAGAAGTTGCAATATGCAGTGAAATCGGTAAAAATCGCACTAATCTGGGGCTTTGAAATAGCAAATACTTCAAGTGAAGTATCGTGATTTCAAGGTCACGTTCAGTGTGCACCGGGGCTTAGCACCATAGATGCGTTTACAGCGTGCTTGGGACACATTTCAGTAGGAATGAATGGAAGTGGTTGCAAAGCGTCAACACCTGCCGAAGGACTCTTTCACGCAGCTGTTGAAAATAGGGGGTTGGTCGATGTTTTTACCGCTTCCCGACCCTTAAAGACAATGGAGGTGTACGCACTGCAGCGTTAGAGTTGTGGCTGGGCAAAAATATGGGCTCGTTCACATGTGCTTTGATCTCTGAAGAGTGATATGCGTTCAGGTCGCTTTTCAGATGCCTGCTTTATCCCCTTGAATGGGTTGCGCTCGGCGGGTTCTACACCTGCTGAAACCAACATGGGGTATATTCGGGCAGCACAGTGGCTAAATGGTTAGAACTTCTGCCTGGCAGTACTCGGGTCGTTGGTTTGAATCCCAAACACGGCACCACCTGTCTGGTGTTTGCATGTTCTCCCTGTGACTGTGTGGGTTTCCTCCAAGTAGTCCGGCTTCCTCTCACACTCCAAAAAACATGCTGGTAGGTAGATTGGATCCTGTCTAAATTGTCCCTAGTATGTGTATGTATGAATGTGAGTTAGGGACCTTAGATTGTACGCTCCTCAGGGGCGGGGACTGAATGTACAATATATGTGTAAAGCGCTGTATAAGTACCTGAAATAAATAAAATGAATTTCCTGCCATGGCCACGAAGCAAAGCATATGTATACTCACTGCCTCTGCAGCTAAAGGGGGAGTGGTTGGTAAAAACGCAGCTGAACCACAGTATTTTACTGCCTCTCACTACTAGTGTGAATGAGCCCCTAATACTACCTGCAGAGCTTGGCAGGCATTGATGCTTTGCAACCCCCTCCATTCGCATCTACTAAAATGTGCCACATGTGCAACGCAAACGCACCGTAAATGTGCCTATGGCATTTAAAGTGCAATTGCAAAGCGTCAAAAGTGACATTTTAGCCTTGCAAAAAAAAATCTCTTGGGGTGTTTGGGGAGCATTCCTTGAGGAAACTTGAATGCCTGTGCAACACATTCAAAATGCTCAAAAACACTATATGCGCACTACTGCACATTAAAAGCTGCTTTAAAATTCACCTGTGAGACCAGAATACCGCGGGCAGCATTATTTTTGCCGCAACACGAATGCAGCAGTGTGTACACCTCCATCTACTCCTTATTTTAACAATTTTGAGCGGCGTTGATAGGCTGTTGGGAAGCGGTACAAATGCCACCCAGCTGCCTGTTTTCAATGCCTGTGTGAAAGAGCCCTTTAGGTATTGTATATTACATCAGGACTTCAGCTTTTATACATAATGGGATGCTAATGAGATCTTAGGATAGTAAAATGATAAAGTTGAAATGGTAACCCCCAAAGGATCGCAGCTCCCCGGGTACTAAATCTTTTCAAAATCTTTTCATTGGATGTAAAATAAAAATCATAAAACAGCTAACAATCCGGAAATTAGATGCTCCTTTATTGAAGGGTCATGTGACCCCATAGTAAGCTGGGACACGTTATCAAGCATCAGTAATATTTGCAATGTGTCTAATGTACACTATATTGCCCCAAGTATCGGGCCGCCGGCCTTTCCACACACATGACATTTAATGGCATCCTAGTCTTAGTACGTAGGGTTCAATGTTGAGTTGGCCCCGCCCTTTCCACACACATGATCTTTAATGGCCCCCAGTCTTAGTCCGTAGGGTTCAATATTAAGTTGGCCCAACCCTTTCCACACACATGACCTTTAATGGCCCCCAGTCTTAGTCCGTAGGGGTCAATATGGAGTTGGCCCCGCCCTTTGCAGCTATAACAGCTTCAACTCTTCTGGGAAGGCCGTCCACAAGGTTTAGGAGGGTGTCTATGGGAAGGTTGGACCATTCTTCCAGAAGCACATTTGTCAGGTCAGGCACTGATGTCGGGGAGGAGGCCTGGCTCGCAGTCTCCGCTCTAATTCATCCCAAAGGTGTTCTATGGGGTTGAGGTCAGGACTCTGTGCAGGACAGTCAAGTTCCTCCACCCCAAACTGGCTCCTCCATGTCTTTATGGACCTTGCTTTGTGCACTGGTGGGCAGTCATGTTGGAACAGGAAGGGGCCATCCCCAAACTCTTCCCACAAAGTTGGGAGCATGAAATGATCCAAAATGTCTTAGTATACTGACAGCTTAAGAGTTCCCTTCACTGGAACTAGGGGGCCAAGCCCAACCCCTGAAAAACAACCCCACACCATAATCCCCCCATCAACAAACTTTACACTTGGCACAATGCAATCAGGCAAGTACCGTTCTCCTGGCAACTGCCAAACCCAGACACGTCCATCGGATTGCCAGACAGAGAAACATGATTGGTCACTCCAGAGAACACGCCTCCTCTGCTCTAGAGTCCAGTGGCGGCGTGCTTTACATCACAGCATCCGACGCTTTGCATTGCACTTGGTGATGGAAGGCTTGGATGCAGCTGCTCGGCCATGGAAACCCATTCCATGAAGCTCTCTACGCACTGTTGTTGTGCTCATCTGAAGGCCGCACCAAGTTTGGAGGTCTTTAGCTATTGACTCTGCAGACAGTTGGCGACTTCTGCGCACTGTGCGCTTCAGCATGCGCTGACCCCGCCCTGTCATGTGACGTGGCCTACCACTTGGTGGCTGTGTTGCTGTTGTTCCCAGTTGCTTCCACTTTGTTATAATCCCACTAACAGTTGAGCGTGGAATATTTAGTGGCCAGGAAATGTCACGGATGGACTTATTGCCCAGGTGGCCACCTATCACGGTACCACATTTGATTTCACTGAGCTCCTGAGAGCGACCCATTCTTTCACCAATGTTTGTAGAAGCCGTCTGCATGCCTAGGGGCTTGATTGTATACACCTGTGTCCATGGAGGGGATTGGAACACCTGAATCACATGATTTGGACAGCTGGCCCAAAACTTTTGGCAATATAGTGTATAAAATGAAAGTTTAAAAGCATACGTGTAGAAACAAATCAATCCGTACCTTCTGTGCCAGCAATGATCATACTGGACGGGTAATTATAGGAAATGAAGCTTCTAGTGGAAATAAATGATTCATGTGATGAGAATGAAGTGCGATGCTGCCAGCCGCAGAGAGGGCTCTTTACAGGAAGGGCAAGAGGTGATTCCCGGAGAGAGTGTTTTATATGAATAGTATAGAAATTGTTTCTGAGTCTAATGATCCCGCGTTCCTCTTGTTCCTCTCTGTTCCAGAAATTCAAAGAATATCTGAATGGAAGTAATCTGATCACCAAGCTGCAGGCCAAGCATGACCTCCTGAAGCAGGCCCTGGGAGAAGGTGAGAGATTGGCGCGTCTGTGTATGACCATGAACGCACAGATAAAATAATGACAGGAGGGGATCCTGTCATTATTTTATCTGTGCGTTTACAATTCTGTGCAATTCCTGGAACCAATAATTCTACTTGCAGCCGTACGATTACAGGAGTTGTAAACATTGTTGGTGTCAATGGGAGAAATGGTGCCCCATTTTGGGTGTCAATGGAAAAAATGGTACCCCATTGTTGACATCAATGGGAGAAATTGTGCCCCATTGTGGGTGTCAATGGGAGAAATGGTGCCTCATGTGGTTGGCATCAATGGGAAAAATGGTGCCTCATTGTTGGCATCAGTTGGGAGAAATGGTGCCCCATTGTGGGTGTCGATGGGAGAAATGGTGGCTCATTGTTGGCATCAGTGGGAGAAATGGTGACCCATTGTTGGCATCAATGGAGAAATGGTGCCCCATTGTGGGTGTTATGAAAATGGTGTCCCATTTTTGGTGTGTCAATGGGAGAAATGTGCCCCATTGTGGGTGTCAATGGAGAAATGGTGCCCCATTGTTGGTCTCAATGGAGAAATGGTGCCCCATTGTGGGTGTCAATGGGGGAAATGGGGTGTGCCCATTGTTGGCATCAATGAAATTTTGCTCCATTGTGGGTGTCAATGGGAGAAATGGTGTCCCATTGTTGGTGTCAATGATAGAAATGGTAACCCATTGTTGGGTGTCAATGAGAGAAATAATGCCCCATTGTTGGCATCAATGGGAAAAATGGGAGTTCCATTGTTGGTGTCAATGGGAGAAATGGTGCCCCATTGTTGGCTTCAATGGAAAAAATGGTGCTCCATTGTGGGTGTCAATGGGAGAAATAATGCCCATTGTTGGCATCAATGGGAAAAATGTAGCCCATTGTTGGTGTCAATGGGAAGAAATGGTGCCCCATTGTTGGCTTCAATGGGAAAAATGGTGCCCCATTGTGGTGTCAATGGGAGAAATGGTGCCCCATTGTTTGGTGTCAATGGGGAGAAATGGTGCCCCGTTGTAGGTGTCAATGGGAGAAATGGTGCCCCATTATTGACGTCAGCTGGAGAAATGGTGCCCCACTGTTGGTGCCAGTGGGAAAAATAATGCCCCATTGTTGGGTGTCAATGGGAGAACTGGTGCCCCATTGTGGGTGTCAATGGGAGAAATGATGCCCCATTGCTGGCATCAATGGATGAAATGATGCCCCATTGCTGGCGTCAGTGGAAGAAATGGTGCCCAATTGTTGATATCAGGTGGCAGAATGGTGTCTCGTATCAGTGGGAGGAATAATGCCCCAAGGGCCAAATAAAGTCAAGCAAAGGGCCGCAGATTGGAGACCACTGCTGTACACATAGAAGAGCTCCCCCTGCCTGCAGCATCTTGGCTTTCACTACTGCATTCACAGAGTCACACAGATCGCCACCTATTGGTAAAATCTGGTGGCACTACCTTGTAATGTATCCCTAGCCAAGACTTCTTTTTTTTTTTCTCCCATTTTGGTCAAAGATTGTTAAATACATAACCTTTTTAGGAAATTATTGGGGCAGATATTTAAAGCTGAGCTCCAGGATATGGAAAATATTATCTAAATCCATCCATCCTGTTTATTCTTCCTGAATCTTGGTGAGCTTTGTGTATTTCTTCCATATCTGGGCAATCATCCAGTGTGAGACTTCCTGTACTAAAGACCACTCACTGCTGCGCTCTCTCCTTGTGCAGGGTGACTGGTCTTGTCCCTGCCCCTTCCTGTAATTTTCCTGCAGTGGGTGGAATCTGTTGGGCCCCTCCCACTGGCTATTTACAGCTCAGTGATGATGTCACAGCTACGTTTACAAGGTGATATCTGAGTTTGCAAAGGCAATTGGTGCACGCAGAGTTGATTTATACACAGGATTTTTTTTTTTTTTGTCTAGAATCCAAAGATCTTTATTTCAGCCATGCAACTGTAATTCCCAAATGACTTTGGACATTTTTTTAATGGATTCTTAACTGTCACTTTTCTCATTGTCTTTGCTTACAGGTGAGAGAGCAGACTACGGCACCACGAGGTGAGTGGCCTAAAAACCGACTGTGCTGATTGGTTGGGTGTTGCTATAGTCACAGTTACTGGAATTTCTAAAATCTGGAGTAATGGGAATAAAATGACTGTGTTGCCTATAGGAAGTGGTAAAGTCTTCAGGGGTCCGGAGCCAGGGGTGGACTGACAACTCATGGGGCCACCGAGCAATAGGGGATCATGGGGCCCCTGTGTCCTTGCCATAGGCAAAAAAAAGCCTATGAAAAAGGTACCAGGGGCATCTCATGGGGCCCCCTACTGACCCCGGGCCCTCGTGCAGTGCCCGAGTTTCCAAATGGTCAGTCCGCCCCTGTCCGGAGCCCAGTGTGGTGTGCCGACTCTTTGTCTAATTTTTTTCATTGGACCCTATTTTTTTTTTTGTGATTGGACAGAGAAGAGATTTGTACCCCCTAGAAACCAATTAAATGTCAGTGTGCGGCTTTATTTGTTATGGGGTTCTTAATATTTGCATGTATCTATCTGATCTGTGAATAATCTGAATATATTAAATACAAGAACAAAAATCAAATTGAAAATAATAGAAACATGAAAGGGAGACTACTGGGGAGATCAGACAGTTCTTGTTTCAGACAGCTTTATTAAAGTGGTTGTAAACCTTTGAAATGAAAAATGAACAAAGCATATCCCTCTATAGTGTGTAGGCACCTCAATCCAAAGCACTGAGTGTGATTTCAGTCTGCTCTGTCCTCCCTCTGCTATCTGCATGAGTCACTTCTGATTTTTTTTTTTTTTTTTGCTGACACCAGACAATCCTGGGAGACAGCTCGCTTCCCTCCAGCACACAGCCTGTGACTGACAGCCTCAGCTGTGCATGTTTCCCTTTGAGACTGTGTAGAGGGGAGTTTGTCCTTCCCCTACACTCAGGTCTCAGTTTACATCAGGGGCGGACTGACAACTCATGGGGCCCCCGGGCAATAGGGGATCATGGGGCCCCTGTGTCCTTGCCCAAACTCAAAAAAGCTTATGAAAAAGGTACCAGGGGCATCTTATGGGGCCCCCTACTGACCCCGGGCCCTCGTTTCCAGTTTCCAACTGGTCAGTCCGCCCCTGGTTTACACTCAGCTCCCTGCTCTATGCTGTTCAGTGTGTGACATCAGATCCCCACCCCATGCCCTCTGAAACTTTGAAATGCTTTGTAAACTGGGCACTTTGAATAGAAGAGAGAGATGGCTGCAGATAAACAGGTACAACTTACATAGGAGAGCAGTCACTTCACTGGGCATATGTAAGAGTTTACAACCACTTTATTATTATAGTGTTGATTGAGTGGGCTAACATTCCGCCATTTTGTTGAAGCCTTGTCTCTGCAGAAGTATTTGACAGCATGTTCCATTTCTTCAGGCCCCCGACTCTGCCCCCTAAGCCCCAGAAAATGAGGAAGCCCCGGCCTCGCTCCCTTTATAGCCATATGCTCTTTAATGGGAATATGGAGCTCTTTATCAAGGTACTGGTGGCTGCTGCGTGGGGGGACAGCGGACTGCGGCTTTCTCTGCACGGCCTCCCTGCTCACCTGCTGCTCTGTCCGCACAGACTCTGCTTCTCCTCTACACCCTCCAATCTCACTCCGCTTCTCATTTTCTGGGGGTTCAATAAGCAGCCATGCTCCAACTAACAAGTGGACCTGTCTGAGATACGCAGTCGAGGGTGCCATTTTGCACACCAAAGATCTGGTTATAGCAGATATGGGTTATTTTCCATAAAACCTGTTGTAGGTTTACTGTGCAGGAGCCCGAGTCTGGATTTGGGCATTTTGGGGGTATTGAGGCTTCTTAATGAATGATAGGCTGAGCACTACATTGGACTTCACTAGGCATGGATGACTGATGTGTTTGTCATTGAGATTTATACACACGGGTGCAGGGGCGTATTTACCACAAGGCAAACAAGGCATTTGCCTAGGGCAGCATTTTTTAGGGGGGGGCAGCACTGCCCGACCCAAGAAGGGACATGTATGGCATGGGGACCAGGTGGGATCCAGAGAGGTTGCAGGCTGCTTGATGGTGTATGCAGAGCCCAACTGTTGTTCCCGGGGATGTCCAGAGCTGTGAAGATTAGTGTCTTTCTCTCTGAAGCCCAGGGGGGAAGGCATTAGTGGAAGGGGTGGGGCAGGGGTGTTGTTGGTCACTGTCTGACTTTTTCTGTGGGCAGTGGGCCTGGGCCTGGCCTGGTGTTGGACGGTTTCAGGCTCTCTCTGCCAGGGAGGGGGGGGGGGGGGGGCGTCCGATTTTTGTGTTGCCTAGGGCACCTAAATACACCACTGCATGGGAGTGATCCAAGGCATGAACAGTCAGACAGATATCTCCTTTTCTGCTTGGTAGACTGTGTCTCTGCCCCTCCCACGAGGTCCCAACAATGGTGCCACCCACGCACAGCTGAAAGTCCCCAATTATTTGTTATTTTATTTATTGTGGCAAATTTGCTGCAGAGTTTGACGCCAGTATTAATCATTTTATCATGGAATGAGGAATTCTTGGGAGGTGGCATATCTCACCATTGACGTCCTGAGATTTTATGTGTCAGAATGATTCAACCTGCCAATTACAGTGCACAGATCTCACCATATGAAACCCCCTCCTCACATCACAAAAAAATAATTTAGCTGGAATGATGGAAGTCAGAGAAAGGCCGATGTCTAATCAGGGAATGAGCAAGCAGACAAGACATAGTTCAGGCACTAGGCAGGGGTCTGCAACCTTTAAGACATAAAGAGCCACTTGGACCCGTTTCCGAAGGGAAAAAAAAGACTGGGAGCCGCAAAACCATTGCAACATTTAAAACAAATCCGACACTGCATATATTGTTTCTTACCTTAATGCAGTGGTGGGCAACCTTTTTTTTTCAACTGAGCCAAATCTCGCCAAAACCACGATTGAAATTTATTTTGAGAGCCACATTTTTAAAACTGAAAATACATCCCCCATATAGTAATTCATCCCCCATATAGTAATTCATCCCCCATATAGTAATTCATCCCCCATAGTAATTCATCCCCCCTATAGTAATTCATCCCCCATATAGTAATTCATCCCCCATATAGTAATTCATCCCCCATAGTAATTCATCCCCCCTATAGTAATTCATCCCCCATATAGTAATTCATCCCCCATATAGTAATTCATCCCCCATATAGTAATTCATCCCCCGTAGTAATTCATCCCCCCTATAGTAATTCATCCCCCATATAGTAATACATCCCCCATAGTAATTCATCCCCCATATAGTAATTCATCCCCCATATAGTAATTCATCCCCCATATAGTAATTCATCCCCCATATAGTAATTCATCCCCCATAGTAATTCATCCCCCATAGTAATTCATCCCCCCTATAGTAATTCATCCCCCATATAGTAATTCATCCCCCATATAGTAATTCATCCCCCATAGTAATTCATCCCCCATATGGTAATTCATCCCCCATATAGTAATTCATCCCCCATAGTAATTCATCCCCCATATAGTAATTCATCCCCCATAGTAATTCATCCCCCATAGTAATTCATCCCCCCATATAGTAATTCATCCCCCCATATAGTAATTCATCCCCCATATAGTAATTCATCCCCCATATAGTAATTCATCCCCCCTATAGTAATTCATTCCCCCATATAGAAATTCATTCCCCCCTATAGTAATTCATTCCCCCATATAGTAATTCATCCCCCATAGTAATTCATCCCCCCTATAGTAATTCATCCCCCCTATAGTAATTCATCCCCATATAGTAATTCATTCCCCATATTGTGTCAATTCACTTACCTTTGCTCCGCGCGTTCCTCTCGCCGTGTTCCCGCGCTGTTCCGGTCTTCAGGGCGGACTGTGAGAGGAGAGGAGTTCGTCACGCTGCCCCGCCTACATCCTGACAGCCAATGTTTGCCACGCTCCGCGGGCCGGATTAAAAGGTCCGCCGGGCCGTAGTTTGCCCATTGCTGGGCTAGCTGCAGAGTCCTGACTTTTGGGGCGGCCGCCCGAGAGCAGGGAGGGGAGCGGGCGCCCAGCACACAGAAGAGCCGCATTAAAATGTGTAAAGAGGCCGCATGTGGCTCGCGAGCTGCGGCTTGCCTACCACTGAGCTACGGCAACCCTATTGCCTGTCACCTGGTGGGCAGTGTGCTCCGGAGCCGCAGCAAAGGTGAAAAAGAGCCGCATGCGGCTCTGGAGCCACGGGTTGCCGACACCCGCACTAGGTGGAAGTTATAGGTGGTTAACGAGGGTCAGGTGTGCACTGCAAGTCAAAGCAAAACAGATGCAATTGTATCATTTTCCAGAAAAGATCCACCTTTTATCATTAAAAAAGTGATTGATCTCTAGTTCAATGACTTTGTATGGGCTGAGATGATCTCATCCGTCTTCTGCAGGAAAGAGGAAGCGTTTCATATAGGTGGTTAATGAGGGTCAGGTGTGCACAACAAAGCAAAGCAGATGATTTTTTTTTTTTAAACGTATCCTTATGCAGGCCATAGATGGGTCGAAATTTTTTTCGGATCGTTTGTGGGCTAATTGGCCGTTTTTTCGGTATTTTGGCAGATTTTTTTTTCGGTAAAGTTGGAAAAAGATCGGCCGATTTTGCCGATCGGCCGATTTTCGCGGCAATTATGGGCGATTCGGCCGATCTTTTTACCGATAAAAAAATCTGCGCATGAGCAGTGACCTGCAAGACCTTAGATTGTACACCCCTTGAGGGTTAGGGACTGATGTGAATGTACAATATATATGTCAAAGCGCTGTGTAAATTGATGGCGCTATATAAGTACCTGAAATAAATAATAAGACAAAAAGAAGAAGAGGATGAAGTGAATGATGAAGAAGAGGATGAAGAAGAGGATGAAGAAGAGGATGAAGAAGAGGATGAAGAAGACAAAAAGAAGAAGAGGATGAAGATGATGAAGAAGATGATGATGAAGAAGAAGAGGATGATGAAGAAGAAGAGGATGATGAAGAAGAAGAGGATGAGGAAGAAGAAGAGGAAGAAGAAGAGGATGAAGAAGAGGAAGAGGATGAAGAAGAGGAAGAGGATGAAGAAGAGGAAGAGGATGAAGAAGAAGAGGATGAAGAAGAAGAGGAGGAAGAGGAGGAGGAAGAAGAAGTGAAAGAAGAAGAGGATGAAGAAGAATTCCAGTCCGGCAAAAAGTGTCCCTGCAGAGAGCTCCGCTATTTCTTTGACAGTGCTTTGACATTTATAGCGGTTGCAACAATGTATCTATTTGTTTCCGAATAAAAACATCTGTATCTGAAATGGATACAAATAGATACATTGTTGCAGCCGCTATAAATGTCAAGGAACTGTCAAAGAAATAGCGGAGCTCTCTGCAGGGACACTTTTTGCCGGCTGTAGACGGGATGAAAATCGGCCGATTTTTTTTTTTTTTTTTTTTTTTTTTTTTTTTTACCATTGCTGGTAACGTCGGCCGCTTGAACGACCGATTTTTCGTTTTTTTAAAGAAAAATCGTCCGGTTTTCTCCCCATCTATGGCCTGCATTAAAGAGAATTTTTAATACTTAACCCCTTCCTGCCAAGCACCAGCGTCTCTCTAATAGGGTCAGGGGGCAGGCGGCAATAATTGTGATTGGCTATCACAGTGGTCTGGGCGGCACAGTGGCTTAGTGGTTAGCACTTCTGCCTTGCAGTAATTGGGTCATGGTTTTGATTCCCGACCATGACGCCTCCTGCATGGAGTTTGCATGTTCTCCCTGTGTTTGTGTGGGTTTCCTCTGGGTACTCCGGTTTCCTCCCACACTCCAAAGACATGCTGGTAGGTTAATTGGCTCCTGTCCAAAATTGTCCTAGTTTCATCCCTGGCCATGTGGGATCTCCTGCATGGTGGGGGTTGGGGAAAGACCTGGCAACCTACCCTGTAAAATAATTGCTAAGAGAATTCATGGAAGAAGTCGCTTCCGAGTGACGGTCTGTGCAGTCACCAAGGGTTGGATACGACTGAATGGATAGATAGATCATGGTGGTCATGTGATCAGGAGCCGGTCCTGCGTGGTACCGATCGTTGACAGTTCGGTCCCTGTGCTGGGAGTGTGCAGCAAAAGTGCACAGGAACAGGTAGAATCAAATATTCTTTTCGCATCTCTTGAGGATGAATTTGATTTAACATTTTTATGTATGGTAGACTGTGTCTCTGCCCCTCCCACGAGGTCCTAACAATGGTCCCACCCCCGCACAGCTAAAAACCCCATTTATTTATTATTGTGGTGAATTCTCTGCAGAGTTTGATGCCAATATTAATTAATGTTATTATGGAATTGGGAATTCTGGGAGGGGATATCTCACCATTGACATCTGTGAGAGATAATATGTGTCGGAACGATTCAACCTCCCAATTACAGTGCAGAGATCTCAGCATCTGAGCCCCCCCCCCACCAAAGATGTAAAAAAAAAAGTTAGCTGGAATGAACAGTCAGATGGAAATTGGAAACAGGCAGATGTCTATTCAGG